TGGTCCCATCATCCCACTGGTTTCACTTTAGCGAACGACTGATTCCGCCTCCGTCTTTTCCAGTTCCATTATTTTGTTTTCCCTGAGCACTGCTACGGAATAGCTGTAAAAGTAGATCCTCCACTGCTTCATTGGTGATAGGTGCGGTTGGTTGATTGTGGGGAATTCGCTGTTACTTTGACGGAACAGTGAAGCTCTATCGCAGTTAGTTAGTTGAACGCTGGCCAGGACAGCGATCGGGCAAGCGATTTCGATGCAGACTCTGTTTGTCCCGTGCTGTTGCGGATCAGTTTCTGAGAATACGAATGCTCCTTGCTGCTCACCTTCCCAGTACATCGCTCCAGATGTAAGCTGCACTTTTGCTCTTTTTTTTTTTGCAGTATTTCGCTTTCGGATTTCTCCTCTCACTGAGCTTATGCCTCAGGATAATCTTACAGTGTCACACCAGCTCTAATTACATTTTGAAAAATAACTGGTTTGAAATACTTGCACTCTCATAACATGCAGCACTATTATTTCGCCCATATTCTTGCAGCATTGTGGTGTACGCTAAACTCTCGAGTGCCAGCATACATATACACACATGCACAAAAATATATACGCTTACAAATACAAACAAGCAGATACATACATACAGGAATTGTCAGTGTTAACGCACCGTCTACGCTGCACAGTCAAAAATCGCTTTTTCATCAACTTATAACCTGTAAGAAGGAGTAATGCGCAAGTTCAGTTTGACTCGAAAAGAGGTGCTAGAAGCTACCTGGAAACTGGCAACAGTATATTATTTACGAAAGCTGTTCTTTCGATTTGTATTTTTAAGGACTTCCCTATTTATCATAAATTTTATATTTGCCAGGTTTTTTCCTGCGTCCAGTTCTACCGAATTGCATCTTACTTGACAGCCAGTCCTATGATTTACTCGTTCGCCGCAGCTTACTTATATCACTTTTAAAACTATAGTGAATATACTCTTCGCATATCCACAAGTAAATTAATCTAAAGTCAAACAAAATAAGTAGATCTACACTTAGCAAAATTGTCACCAAAGGAATA